TGTGGCCGTTGTTTCCAGAATCGTGGAATGAGTTGAGTTGATGAACCGAGGTCCCACCGTAGTTTGTAAGAATAATAAAATGTAACTAAAAGGAGAAAGGGACTCGGTGGAATTTTCGAACTGAAGAAGAGAAAGGGAAAGCAAATCCGATTGGAAAGGTAGGAAAGCCGTCTTTAGACAGTGAAAGGACATGTTAGGGAAAAGGAACTAGAGTTGGTCTGTGTGAGCCCAGCGGGTTTAAGATGCCAATGACTGCGAACTTTAGAGAAAAAGATGTTGGTTTTCTGTGGAATCCATATATCCATCTTCAAGTGCATCAAGACCCAAGATGCCTGTGCTATAAACCAGGACAAAATACAACAGCCTCTCGGCTGTTCTGAGCCCGTGGGGAAAACAACAGGGAAACCCCAAAAGACAAAACCCAAACTAAGGAACTGGGGATTTAGCTCAGCGGCACCGAGCCTGCCTGGCAAGCGCAAGGTCGTGAGTTCGATTCCCAGTAACGGAAAAAAACAAACAAAAAAGAAAACAAAACCCAAACTGAAAGTAAACAGCAGGTGTGTGGGACTTGATTTAAGCCCTGTACATGCCAGCACTGGGGATAAGTCCCTGGCCTTTTTGCAAAAAGTTTCAGTGAGACCCCCACAAAAGGCAAGGGCCCTTGCTATTCGTTCATTGACAGAGGGGCCGGAGGACGTTCTCAGGGGGAGTAAGGCGTGTCCCCGCCAGGCCACCGTCCACCCGTGGCCATGAGTCAGCCCTCTCAGCACATCTCAGAGGCCAGGTTGTCCCTGCTGCCTTTGCTTCTCCTTGGGTGCCCAGAGATTCCCCAAGGCCAATGCCACTTGCTACAGAAAATCTACATACGCATGAATCAAATCTCCCTGCGTGGAATTCCTGTAATATCAGCTGACAGCTGTCAGGCACTTGCTGAGTGGCCCACTCGCAGTGTATCTTAACCTTCTTGAATCTGTACCCGAGCCTGTACCCGAGCAACATGGTCTCGTCCCTGAGGTCCCTGCTCACATTCCCATTTCATCAGCAAAATGGTCTGAAGAGCAGAGAAGTGACTTGTTCAAGACCCCACGACTAATGAGTAGTGAAGACAGAAGCTGATCCAAGGTGAACGGACACACACGTGCACACGTGCACACTGGGAATGTGTGGCCACCCCGCGCCAAGTCCCATTCAAACACAAAGGGCCTGGTGAAAGCGTTGGACACCAGCGGCCCCTATGATCAAAGCCACCTGAAGGTTTTCCCAGGGGCATCTCTGCAGGTCGTGCTGGTCACAAAGGATCCTGGGAAGAAGCCACGTGTGTGCACAGACTCTGATAAAGCCTGCCAGGAGGCCCGAGCAAGCTGGCTAACTGGGTGACGCTTGCTGTCTGTCACCCAGTGCCTTATTGTGGCTGTTCAATTCCAGACACCTGCAGCAGAAGACGTAATATCATAAGCAAATGCTTCCCTGCTGTGTGCAAATAGCGCCTCACTGAGGGCTTCCTGGCCCACCCAGTATAAAACCACATATTCTGATGCTGCCTGGGCCCCTCTCTGCTTTATTTTTCTCCATATGTATGGAGTAATATCAGCACCACCTGATATATATATTGCCTGTACCACTCCTAACCAGAATGGCAGCCCCACGAAGGTGGGGTTTTTATCCCTGTGGCTCACTGCTGTGTGCCCGGAACAGTACCCAGGACACAAGAGGTGCTCAGTAAGTATGTGCTGGATGAATTAATGCACGGTGACAAGAGTAGTAGGAGATAGCAATGGAAACTGTCCCCATTCTCTGGGTGAAGAAGCTGAGGCTCAGGGCAGTAAAATTTAGCCCATGCTTTTGAGCAAACTCTTGCTGATGTAGTCACTGTCTACTTCAGCGTGACTCCCATGTTGTGTCACTAGCCCTGCCTCCAAAATGATCCCTGCCGTTGGGCACCTGACTCCCTTGGCCCGATGCAACGTGAAAAGCACAGGCAACAAAAGCAAAAATAAGTTGAGTGCCATACTGCACACCTATACTCCCAGCTACTCAGGAGGCTGAGGCAGGAAGATTGCAAGTTCAAGCCCCCCCAGGCAATTTAGCAAGACCGTGCCTCAAAATAAAAACAGACAGTGTGGAGGCCCTGGGCTCAATCCCCAATAATGGAACAAGGGTCAAAAAACAGACAAATGAGACTACATCAAACTTTAAAACTTTTTTTTTTGGTTGGTCGGTTGATTTTGAGACAGGATCTCAGTGTGTAGTCCAGGCTGGCCTTGAACTCACTGTGTAGCCCAGGCTGGTCTCAAACTTGAAGCAATCCTCCTATCTCAGCCTCCTGAGTGCTGGGATTACAGGTGTGCGCCACCATGCTCAGTGAAACTTGCAAACTTCTGAGCATTAAAGTAAACAAGAGAATGAAAAGGTAACTTATGAAGTAGGAGGAAACACCTGCAAATCATCCGTCTGAGAACAGGTTAATATCGAGCATGACTTGCTCAGCCAGGGAAGCTGATGCTGGTGGCAGCAGTGAGGAGAAAACACCCATCCTGCCCCCAGGGAAGGCGGAGAGCCTTGCTGAGGGCTGCAGTGACGCTGACAGCTGATCTGTTGGGGGCCCAGCCACTCCACACCACCTCGCCCTGAGCGCCCTCCAGCAAGGGGTCCCTTGGTCAGAAAGTCCTAGAGCAGAGAGCCTGGTTCTGAAACCAGAACGTCTGTGTCTTAGGAAACCACACAGCCCCCGACATACTAGGTCCTGAGTGCCCCAGTTATAAGAGTTTGGTGCCCTGGCTCATTGTTCATGGTGTTCCCTGTCCTTGATAGAGCTCATTCTGACTCAGCCACGGCCGCACCCGGCCCTACCGACGCTCTCTTTATATCTGACTTGGCCGTGGAGATTATCCCCGTGTGCCGGGGAGGAGACAGCTCAGGGAGGTTACCTGCCGGACTCACCCCCATTGAAAGGCCTGTCTGGAGCAGCAGTGAATCTTAGATCCATGACGTTGCTGTTGGGCAACAGGCACTCACTAAGTGTCCTGCAGCACGTAACAGACGCGGTCGTAATCGGTCACATTCCTGTCCCCTGAGCCAAGCTCTGTACATTCCTGGAACTGTGGATGAACTGCTGGTTAAAACGTCTTCCCTGGCAAGGTGTGGTGACACACGCCTGTAATGCGAGCACTTAGGGAGGCTGGGGCAGGCCTGCAAGTTTGCCTGGGCAACTTAGCTAGAGCGTGTCTCAAAAAAATTATTATTTTTATTTTGTTTTGTTTTGTTTCCAGTACCAGGAATCGAACTCATGACTTCGCGCTTGCCAGGCAGGCGCTGTGCCCTTGAGCTAAATCCCCAGCCCCTGTCTCAAAAAAATAAAAAGGCTAGGGTTGTAGCTGGCTCAGTGTAAAGGCCCTGCAGATTCAATCCCCAGGACTGAAAAAAAAAATCTTCCTGAATATTCATGACGATCTAGTTGAAAATGAAAAGTACGTGTGCACCCAGAAGTGCCTGGAAATGCTAACGGGAAGCCAGGGTTATGTTCCTGAAGCCAGCGCTTGCTGTGGCAAGTAGCTGCTGCTCCGTCATCTGAGGCTTCCCCGTGAGAAGCGTGGACAGGGAGGTCCATGCAGTGGCTCTCAGACACCCGCGTGTACCGGGATCATCCAGAGAGCTTGTTAAAGCCCAGACTGCTGGGTGCACCCTGGAGTGTGAGATCCGCCGGTTTGGGGTGTGGACCAGGAACTTTGTAACAAGTTTCCCGTAGTCCCGTGCTTCCGGTCCAGGACCACGCGTTGAGAACCAAGCAGAGTGTGTAAAACCCGAAACAACAGCCAAGCCTTGGAGTCAACAGAGACATCACAGCCGGAAGCTGGTGTGGCTGATTCATGCATCGGGGAGAGACAGCCAGACAAGTGTCGGTCTGAAGCTCTTGGCTGACTTTAAACACAAACCTTTTTCCTTCTCAGGACATATTTTCTGTGAGAAAAATGGAATCCATGAGTTTCTTCAAAACCAAAGGCTATCAGAACCCAGGTGTTTAAACAACATGCTTTAACATTGCTGAAGGTGCCTGAGACGGAGGTCAGGAACCTGGGCGTCCTTGGAAATGACCGCAGACTGAAGGGTGCATTCAGTAAATATAAAATAAAATATCTGAGGAACATTAAAGCATCGGGTCATAATGTGTTTAACTGGCAAGATTCTCATTGTATATAAAATAATATGTAACATGTTAGATTCAAAGAAATGTGGTATTTGAGGAGAAAACATAATCAGCACCTCAAATTTGGAGGCATGGATATTATTGCTTGGGGCAAAGCCAAAAATAGTGATGTTAGGTGTATGTTGATTTAAATAAACATACTCTGTAAAAATAATGGCCAAAATGTCAACAAGTTCATAGTGACAGTGGCTCCCAAGTCACCATGAGACCTCTCAGCCAGACACATTCACCAATGGACAAGCACAGTTGGCTGCATTTGTTCATGTGAAGCTAAATCTCCCTGTGACTGATTATATTCTAGTTAAGGAAGGAAGGATTTCCAAGCCCCAAACTGTAGATTCCATTAACAAAGTAGTCACAAAGTTTTTTATAAGAAAAAAATTCAAGACTACCTATTATATCTTTTATAATATTTCATATGTGGTCTTTTTTTTTTTTTCTCCAAAACTTCAGCCAGAGTACAAGGATAAACGTAAAATATTATTTAAACTAAGGAGGATGTTTATTAAGACTAGTTTTGCCCAGAAGTCTTGCTATCCCTTTTTCTTGATGGTTTCTTAGCGTTTTATGATATACCTATGAAAGTGCCTCAAGCAAAGAAAATCTACAGAAGCCCAGAAGCAGATATTCTCTAACATCTCATTGGCCAGAACTGGGTCATGTGATCACTCTTAAGCAGCAAGGGAGCCTGGGAAAGAAATCTAGCATGTTCATTCTCTACAAACAAAGGTAGGCAAAGGGGAATAGCTATTGGCTATTCATATTCTGAAAATTAATGAACACTATGTCTTTTTAGTTTCAGCTCCAGAATTTGTTTTTGAGCATGGGTATCAAACTTATCTGCCTGCAGAAAGCAGTGAAAACCAGACCGCCACTGTCATCTCTCTCCCTGCCAAATCACGAACCAAAAAGCCGGCCACTCCACCTGCCCAGAAGCGGCTTAACTGTTGCTATCCAGGTAAAGGGCAGCTTATGTGGCTACAGATATTTCCTCCTGTGCTATATATACAGGTTAAGATATCTAAAAGGATTTTTCCTTTTTACTTTTGTTTTTAACTTTTTATTCTGGAATAATTTCAGACTTAAAGGAACATTGCAAAACTAGTACCAAAAATTCCCTGTGTACTTTGCACCTAAACTCCCCAAATGTTTACTACATGCATTTTGTCCTTTTTTCTAGATATTCTCCCCCGAAACCACTTCAGAGTAAATTGCAGGCGTAATACGCTTTTACCCGTACATACCTCCGTGTGTGTTTTCTGGAAACAAGGGCGTTCTTTTATGTAACCTCAGGACAGTCGTCAGTCGCGAAACTGACATTTATTTATCCTGTTATCAAATTTGCTGACCTCACTCAGATTTCCAAATTGTCTCACTGAAAAGAAAATCGTTTCCTCGCTGGTCGAACCCATGACCACTTAGGGCATTTGGTTTTCCTGTGACTTTAGTTTCCTCCCAGCGGGAACGGTCAAGGTTTTGTATTCCGTGAACTTGACATTTGTGAAAAGGGCAACCCAGTCCTTTCCTAAACGGCGCCTCTATTTGGGTTTGCCTGGGTTCTGCTTGCCATTAGATTGAGCCTACACAGTTTGGGCTAGGGTACAGAAGCCGCGCTGGGCTCTTGCTGCCTTGCTAAGGGGGTACGTGACGTCGTTTGCGGCCTCACTGTGCTGGTCATTTTTGTCACATGGTTTAGAAAATTTCTGCCAGTTTTTTCCACTGGAAAATCACTCTGTTTCCCTTTGCAATTAATCTGTCCTGATGTTTTGGTGTGTTTTGTTTGGTGTTTAGGTTGCCAGTTCAAGACTGCCTATGGCATGAAAGACATGGAACGGCATCTGAAAATCCACACGGGTAAGTAACACGGCCTTAGTTAGTGTTCCCTGGATGCCCGCTCCGGAGAAGTCCCACAGGGCGTAGGACTCAAATCCTCCCAGTTGTCCCAGGAATACAAAGGCAAATTAAATAAAAATAAGATGCTGTTCTTACGTAGGATGTGGGCAGAAAATGTCTAGAGCAATAAAATCCAAACACGGAGAGCGTGGGGCAAACTTCGCAAGTAACAACATGAACGGCTACAGCCACCCTGAAAACTGATCTGCCAAAATTAATTAAATGCAAATGTGTGTTTTCGTCTCGTTTTGAGGAGATGAGCCCACCACGTGCATGTGTGATTAGTAAGGAAGAGAATGAAGGGAGTGCTGGGCGTGGTGGCACATACCTGTAATCCCAGCACTCGGGAGGCTGAGGCAGGAGGATCGTTGTGAGTTTGAGACCAGCCTGGGCTACAAAGAGAGCTCAAGGCCAGCCTGACTGCATAGCGAGACCCTGTCTCAAGAAGACAAAAAAAAAGAATGAAGGGAAACAATAGCAACTTTCTCTATGCACCTTTGCACTGTATGATTGAACACACAGAGTGTGTTATTTTTATTATTTACAAAGGAACTTTAATACTTTTTTTAAAAGGAGAGGAAAAGTTCAGTGAATAAGAAAAAGATTATTTCTCATGATTTTCCTTTTCTTGAACACAATTTGTCCCTTAATATCTGCAGGGAATTGGTTCCAGGGTTCCTCCACCCGCCCCAAGGGTGCCAAAGTCTGAGGGTGCTCAAGTTCCTTCTAGAAAATGGTACAGAACCTGGGACTTTCTTTCTTCTCTCTTTTTCTTTCTTTCTCTTTCTTTTCTTTCTTTTTTTCTTTTTATTTTTTTTTGATTTTTTTTTTTTCCTTTTTTTGGTACTGGGAATCGAACTCATGATCTCAGGCTTGCCAGGCAAGTGCTTATGCCGCTGAGCTATATCCCCAGCCCCTTTCTTTTTTCCTTATACTGGAGATAGAACACAGGGTCTTCACCCCGATCTCTATCCCTAGCCCTTTTTAAATTTTTAAATTTTTTTTATTTTGAGACAGGATCTCACCAAGTCCCTAAGTTGCCCCAGCTGAGCTTGAATTTGTTCCTCCCGCATCAGCCTCCCAGGGAGCTGGGATTACAGGCATGAACAAGCAGGGTGCGGGGACGGCACACACACAATTAACTCCATAAGAAGGGAAAAGAGTTTTCATAGAGGCGTGCAAAAATTTTAAAGTGATACCCAGTGAACGGCCAAGGCCACGCCTGTCTTTCCATACACGTTAAGTCACTGTAGGTTACTTATAATGCCTAATACAGTGTAAATTTATATACATCGTTGTTGTGCTTTGTTAGTTGTATTATTTTATTGTTATTATTGTTTGTTGTTTATTTTTAAATATTTTGGATCCACAGCTGGCTGAAGGCACTGAGACAGAACATGCACAGGCAGAGAGCCAACTCTGTGTTATTTTCAGTGTTTCTCATTTTGGCTAGGGACATGCTAAAATTTGACTTTGGATTCACTAATTGCCCAAAGACTGTTATTCAGCCTCAGTCTTTGGAAGATGAAACAGCCCACAAGTATGTCTTACGTTCCCTGACCATGACAGTGAGTGCCTTATTCCACTGGGGCCACCGTCGTTATCTCACCAGCCTCACAGTATCGTGGCCCTTGGGGTGATTCTAATTATTCAAATCTTACATGTCCAATATCGATACACATTTGAATGAAACAAGGCATGCAGCTCTCCATGTGGATGGTATGTGTTGGATTCCCATCATTCAAGCATAGCATGTCTATCACAGAAAGAACAAAACGTACTTTAACTATTAACAATGATTGGAAAATCGATGTGAAAGTACAAATGAAGGGAACAACCTTAAGTCTAATTCTGCAAATCCGCATCGACACGCAGTTAGCCCAGTTTGTGTTTGGAGGACAAGCTCTGCTTACCTCAAGCGTCTGTAACATCAGGTGCAGGTGTTGATTAGGAGGTAGCCTTGGTTAGTTCAGAGAGGAAGGTGTGCTTAATAAACCCTGGGGGCTGGGGAGTAGCGACATGATGAGGGTCTTGACCAGTAGAGCTGGCTGAAAGCTGTTCAGCTGTGCCACCATCAGACACCTGCCGGGTGCTACGGGTGCACACAGTTCAGTGACCTCAGGGATTAGACAGTGCTGAAAAATTGTTCCTGGATTTTTTAATTTGACTGTGAAAATTTTTACTAATAAAATGATAATCTTTAAGACACTTTTACATGTACTCTTAAATGCCAGATATTCTAAGATAATAATGATGCATTTTGGCTGACACCTTATTCCAACACATAGTCATGGAGGATTGGGCCCAAGCACGCATTTGGTACATAAAGTAAAAAATGAAAATCTCTACTCGTAGCTGACCTCCTCTAATTCCGTGTCCCAAAGTCATGAGCCTTGGCCGTTCACTGGGTATCACTTTAAAATTTTTGCACGCCTCTATGAAAACTCTTTTCCCTTCTTACGGAGTTAATTGTGTGTGTGCCGTCCCCGCACCCTGCTTGTTCATTTAACACGGGGCATATCTGTCCCTTAGTAGCACATACCCATTTGTTCTTTTCCGTGGCCAAGCAGGGAGCCGGTGCAGTAATTTATGACACAACCATAACAGAAAATGCTTCAGCCTTTAAATCAAGTTGTGGATGCTTAGTGATATGAAAATATGATCCAAATTAGGTTAAGTGCAAGAAAGTAGTCAATAGGGAAAGTGTTGCATCTGACCATAAAAAAAGAAAAAATAGTCCTGGGTTCTGGTCTACATTGTTAGGAAGATTAAATAAAATAATTCAAAGGGCACAGTGCTGTTCAAAAGGTGCTTAAATTGGTGGTAGGCAATAGGGGGTTTTTGGTGCCAAGAAAAGTAAGCACGCACCCATGTACCAAAGACTTGGGAAAGTACACTTGAACAGTCAGTGCCTGCCGGGCCTGGTGGCTTATGCCTTTGATGCCAGCGCTCTGGGAGGCTGAAGCAGGATTGCAGGTCAAATCCAGCATGGACAACTTGGCAAGACCCTGTCTCAAAATAAAAACAGGGGCTGGGGGTTTAGCTCAGTGGCACAGCACCTGCCTGGCAAGTGCAAGGTCGTGAGTTCAATTCCCGGTACCGGAAAAAAAAACAAAAAACAAAAAAATAAAAATAAAAATAAAAACAAATGCAAAAAATTACAAAGGGTTGAGGATGTAGTTCAGTGCAAATAAAAAATCTGCACGAGCTCATAGATGGACGTGTGCATCAGTGAGGTTCCGAGTAAGCTTACAATAAAGAATCTCAAGCAGGAGCTCAAGCAAGACGAGAGTTTGTGTGTCTCTCATGAAACCACCCAGAGACGGGTAGGTAGTTGGCGACAGGTGGGCAGCTCTGTCCCAGGAGATGCTCCTGGCACGTAAGTGCCCTGCTGTGCCCTTACTCTGCCACCTGCAGGGTGCTGGCTACATCTGCCCATTCCCCGAGGTCTTAGCTACAGCTGGCAGGAAGCAAGGAAAAAGAAAAAGTAGGCAAGCAATTACCTCTTATGAAAGGGACACACTTTTCCTTCTCTGCTGTTGCCCTGACAATAACCCTGTCACAGGCCTAGCTGCAGGGAGGACCAGGAAAGGTAGTCTCCCGCTGGTCAGCTGTGAACAGTTCCTGAAGTTTAGGGGTCATGCACTCTAGGGGGTGTCTCTCTGTTGGAAAAAGGCAAAAGAGAGCAAATGCAGGAGGTGAGTTGCTGTTTCTTACCTTACTTAGCTGTACATTTTCATTTGAGCTGCCTTCCATTTTAATTAATATGGAATTTATGTTCATGGCTCAAAAATTCCAGTAAACAAAATACACAACGTTAGCTGCTTGCTAATCATCCATCCAGCCTTTTGGGGTGTTCTAAGCGTCTTCCTGTGGTTGCGTATTGTATTTTTCCCAAGGTGGAGGGAAATAAGCGGTTTGCTTTGTAACCTTGTTTCCTGTGTCATTTGTGTCCCTCTGTGTGTGTGAAGGAGACAAACCCCACAAGTGTGAGATCTGCGGCAAGTGCTTTAGCCGGAAGGATAAGCTGAAGACCCACATGCGCTGCCACACCGGCCAGAAGCCCTACAAGTGCAAGACCTGCGACTACGCCGCGGCCGACAGCAGCAGCCTCAACAAGCACCTGCGGATCCACTCGGACGAGCGGCCCTTCAAATGCCAGATCTGCCCCTACGCCAGCCGCAACTCCAGCCAGCTCACCGTGCACCTGCGCTCCCACACCGGTAAGCCCCACCCGCGGCCCGCGGCTCAGATCCTGTCACTCAGCACGCGCCTGAAAGCCTTGGGTCACAAAGTAAGAAAAGGACTTGGCGATCTGTGGTCATCCCCTTGCTTATGGTTTTGCTTTTCATCGGCCTAGAAGAGCCTTTTGTAGTTTAAAAAAGAAAAGAAAAGTTGGGGAACCATCAAGGTGATAACTTTACATACATTTTTTTGTGACTGTATAACTGTGACTTTCTCTCTGGTAAAGTATGTCGTTGAGGAGATCCACCAGATTAAATAGAGTTATAAGCAATGCAACTTTAATAAACTTCTGCGTTATGGTTAGGCATTTCAGTAATTTTGTTTTGTTTTCATTTTTTGAGAGAGGGTCTTCCATGTGTAGCCTAGGCTGGCCTTGAATTCACAAGATAGGCCAGTCTGGCCTGGAACCTGCCACCACCTCCTGTCTCAGCCTCCCTAGTGCCAGGATTATCGGCATGTGCCACCATGCCCAACCGTTCAGTAATTTTTGGAGTATACTCTCTTTAGTTCAGCCTGGAACAGTGTGATCGGAAAACCACAGCAAGGGCTTTGGGGATGTAGCTTCATGGTAGGATTGCTTGATTGCCTGCAATGTGTGAGATCCTGGGTTCAACCCTCAGCACTAGAAAAACAAACAAACAAAAAAGCCACATGCATACGCACAGTAAAGTCAGCAGTTGATTATGGATGCTTTTCTTTCAGCATGCATTATCAGCTAGCTGTGGATATAGTAATAGTGTGTAACAACCACCACCCAATCTCAATGTTATAATAAATATTCAGTGCACTCCTATTTCTGGTCAGCAGGGGGTGCTGTTGTCGATGGCTTAGCTTAATCATATGTGTGGGGCAGGTGCGGCATCCACAGACCTTGGCTGGGGAGTCTGCTGGCTGTGGGCTAGGCGGCTCCCCGCTGGCTTCAGCTGGGGTGGTCTGGCTTTGCTCTTGCCATCTCTGATCCTCCTCCTGGGACCAAGGGCTGCCCCAGGCTGGTCCCTCTCATGATGAGGGCAGACATACAAGCAAGCAAGCCCCGCTATTGAAGCCCACTGCACACCTCTGGTTGCTCAGGTCTGCAGACATCACATTGTCCAAAGCAAGAGACATGGCTGGACCTGGGTCAAGGATGGGGTTGAGCTCATCCACAGAGAGGTCACCACAAGGATACACGGCAAAGGTGAGGGACACGAGGAGGAAGAATTGGGACCGTTTTTTGCAGAAGCCCACCATCATGCACGTCTTTCTGACAATCAAAATGTAGTCACACTGTCCCCAAGACCCCCGCAGACTTCATCCAGTCCTAGCCCTGGAATTGTGTGATCTCCGTCAGGTCAGGCTATGGCTCCTCTGTCTAGACGCAGAGTAAGAGGACAGGAAATCTGGTCCCCACCATACCCGGGTGAAACGGAGCCGAGGAGACTCCAATAACCCTGACGTTTGGAAGCAGAAGAGTGAAAGGCTCTAGCAATCACTGCTCCAGAGGATTTTGTGCTCAGGTCCCCCACAGGTGACGGGGGAAGTTTCTTGATTAGGCTTTGGGTTCGCGTCCTGCTCCTTGACGCTGCGGTGCCCTTTTCTATCACCTCCTTTCGCCATTTCTAAAAAGGACTGGAAAATGTATTCTGGAGAAACTTTCCTGCTTCTGCCTCCTGACACCCAGGAGTTTTCTGCATTGTAGTCTAGGCTGGTGACAGTTTTGCCGGGAGAGCTGTCTGTATGCCAAAAGCCACACAGTTCTTTCAGAGTATTACCGCTCCGTAAGCTCAAGCGTAGGTGCTTTGTTCCTATAATATGCTGCGGGTCCCAGGAGTCTTTTTGTCCAGCTAAGAAAATCTACTTGGCACCGAATAATTCCTTGGGAGACTTTAACAAATTCTTACATTCAGACCTCTCGTTTCTCATTTGGTCTTCAGTCTGCGATCAGAGCCCTGGACACGAGCTTCCTCCGCAGGCCTTTGTCTTACTCTGAAAACCTGGCCAGAGGTGACTCTGAAGAATCTGGCTAGATATACCGGCCAGAAATGAGAAACTACCTCCAGCAAATCTTTGTCTGTCTCTCTTCTCTCTAAATTCTGTGTAACAAGTGGCCAGTTCTTTTTCAAGGTTTTCTTTCTGAGAGGTCCCTAACCATATGCAGCTTCTAGAATACTTTCACTGTTCTACCCAAAATTTATCTCTTTCCTCATATCCCAAACTCATGTGTATTTTTTTGTCTTCTTAGTTACCAAGTTGTCTTTTAAGTTACTAAGTTTTTTTGTCATCTAAGTTTTACCAAGCACCTGCCATTAAATGTTCGCCAGTAAATATGAATTGCTATTTTTCCGGCTTCCCCTTGCAACTCAGTCCCATTGGGGGGGTGTAACCAGGAACCGAACTCAGGACCTCGTGCTTACCAGGCAGGCGCTGCACCACTGAGCTAAATCCCTGGCCCCTTGATCCCATATTAGGTGCTCCACGTGAGCAGCACCCCATTTCTAGATACCAATATCTACGTCACGATCATCACAGTGACGCAGGAGTATACAAACCCCATGAAGCCTCTATAGTTACAGCACTGTGCTTCCTCCATTCACATGCTGAGGAGCAGCTGGGGGTGCCTAAGTAGGTTACTGCTGATCTTGGCTGCACTGACAAGTCTGAGAATCTACTGGCCAGGGACGGGCTGTCCACTAACCTATAACACACGTCTGTCATTCTTCTCCTGGAACCGGTGGGCTAGGCCAGGACTGACCTCACTGCAATGACCGAGACACAAGCAAGTAAGCAAGCACCAACTGCAAGGCTATTTCAAGCCATTCCTTGCATCCAGTCTACTTAACATACCATCGGTCAAATGCAGTGACATGTTTGAGCCTGTTGTATGCCGGACTATGTCACCCTCCCTTGTTGGGAGAGCATGACAATCACCTATGCAGCACAGGCCACCACGGCCACCTGGAGGGGTGGGAGGTAGGAAACTTGGGGACATGTATGTGATCTGCTACAAGCTAAGATATCAGGATAACTGAGGCCCAACTGATTTCCTTCAGAAGTCTCTCCCAGCCTAAGTTAGAGAAGCAGAACTATGGTGGTTCATTTTGATGTATAAGGATGAATTTATTCTACCATCTTTAAAATGGCCTAGAAGAGGTATGATTTCTGACAATTTAACTGTGTGCCGTTTATGCTTTACTTCATGGGATATTCATTTTCTCTTTTAGAAATCTATAATCTATGACACTTCTAAAATTTTAAATTGATAGGATCCTGTTCTTACCTTTCCATTGATTTAATGTACTACAGATGACAAGTCATTTCAGCAGCAACCTAAACTCAAGAAAATCTATCAGCGAAACATATCAGTCCCTGATTCATTCAGCGACACTCGTTAAGCTCCACTGTGGACCGGACAACTGTAGAGATCGGGTAGTCCACAGAAATAAGTGCAGTCATTAGCCTGTGAAGAGCATAGAGTTTAGCAGGACTATTTGACCAGGATGCCTCACTGAACAAATAAATTCATGGTTAAAGATATATACATAGGATGATGAAAGGATTTAGATCCTTTGCTTTCATGTCAGAAAGTGTTGTTAGGCTCTGTAATTTAGCTGTGAGAATTCTTTCTCTGGTATCCCAGACATCTCTTTGCAGGAATCCACAAATAACATTTAAGAGATAAGACCGTGCACTTGGATGAGGAAAAGAATTGTATCTTCATTTTTACAACCTATGCTGGTACCGGGCAAGTCCTTCAGTGATGGCGAATATGGGCAACCAGTTGATAATGGTGCCTGGGAACTTGTCGCCAGTAGAAGTCAGATGTTTTCATACCAGTTGTTGCAGCTAGATTAAAATATCCTTTACACTCTTCTTTACTTAGAAATCACTGTGGTTACAAGACCTGCCACGAGATCTTGTTCTTTAATACATTGATCAAGTACACATATTGCCATATCAGAGATTTTTCTTTTAATATTTTAATAGAATTGTTTTCTTTGGAATCCCTATTTTTTTTGTCTTAGTGTATTTTGTGCGTTTAAAAGGTTATTCTTAGAAGGGTTTTTGTGGGCTTCACTAAAAGAGGGTGATGGCATAAAAGGGGTTAACAACATTCAAAGTCAGGAAAAGCCAACTTTCTCTAAAAACAGCCAGGTAGCAGATATCTTAGGCTTGGAGAAAGCCATGTTGCAGTGCCTGGTCACAGCCGTTCCCCCCGCCATTGTACTGTAAACAAGTGGACGTGGTTGTGTTCCGATAAAACCGTACTTACAAAAATAGGCTTTGGACAGGATTTTCTAGAAGCTTGTTAAATTGCTCCCTGCCAGCTCTAACTGAATTTATTGGATAGCTCATTATGATGTTATAAGCCCTATGCCAAAAAGCTGGAACACAGGGCTGGGGATGTAGCTCAGTGGTAGAGCTCTTACCTTGCATGCACAAGGCCCTGGGTTCCATCCCCAGCACCACCAAAAAAAAAAAAAGTGCTGGGACACAAATCCCAGTTGGTTGAGTGTTTGGGCCCCGAAGGTGGGAATCACAGGTCAAAGGTGCAGCCAGTGATCTCACTTTGGAATCGGCCTGGGTTGGAATCCAAGCCCTGCCACACACTAATGAGGGACCATGGGCGAGTTATATAGAGTCTTGGGGCCTCCGCGTCCTCATCTGTGTCACAGTGTAGGACTGCTAACAATAGCGCTCACCTCCTGGGGATGTCGGCCGGCGTCAAATGAGGCAGTTCTCTGCGTGCTCGCATAAAGTGCCTGCCATACTGGAAGCCACCGAAGATTGTTAGCTGCTGTTAATTTCACTTGCTTAAACAGTACTGAAATCGGGGCGGGTCACCCGTTTGGAATATCGCGCCCCTTCAGATGTTTGCAGTTTCACTTTCCCTGCGCATCCTTTCAGCAAATAGGAGTCTGTTTTTAAAAAAAAAAAAAAAAAATCAAGCAGCTGGATTCTGTAACTTCACAAGTAAAGAACGCAGCTGGCAATGTGGGATAAATACATTTTGCACAATAAACACGTCTGTGTTCATAAAAATCTGCATGAAACATAAGCTGGCGTTTCAAGCGCTGTAAAAAAGAATACTCGGACGAAGGCAGCATGAAGCCGACCCACTGGGAAACGTGCTGTTGAGTCTGTTGCAACACGTAATTCAATCCAAATCAACGGATTATGCAAAGCTATGCAACTGTGAACCAGCCCCTAGCAAAGCGGGCGCATTGACTTTATGAACGATAGCTTGAGTGTTTCAAAGAACTTGACGAGTGTGTTTGCAAATCTTATTTGGGACATTTAAATAGCTCTTTTCCATCTCTCATTTTTTTTTTTTCCTCCTGGGTTTCAAAAGGGCAGTGGTGGCTTAGGCTTGGGGGAAAAAAAAGAGAAGCGTCTCCCCTCCCACTCCCGGGGCTGCTGGGAGCTGCGATGAGGAGGTCGCCCCCGCCCCCCCCCGCCTGCCTCGGGATACGCGATTTTCTGGTGTGCGCTTCGGGGGGATCCGCTGTGGTTGTTGCCTGCCTGTTCTTATGGAAACTCACCTTGTGTTGACAGGCGACGCCCCCTTCCAGTGCTGGCTCTGTAGCGCCAAGTTCAAAATCAGCTCGGACTTGAAAAGGCACATGCGCGTGCACTCGGGGGAGAAGCCTTTCAAGTGCGAGTTCTGCAGTGTCCGCTGCACCATGAAGGGGAACCTCAAGTCGCACATCCGCATCAAGCACAGCGGCAACAACTTCAAGTGTCCGCACTGCGACTTCCTGGGGGACAGCAAGGCCACCCTCCGGAAGCACAGCCGCGTGCACCAGTCGGAGCACCCCGAGAAGTGCTCGGAGTGCAGCTACTCGTGCGCCAGCAAGGCGGCGCTGCGCATCCACGAGCGCGTCCACGGCACCGAGCGCCCCTTCAAGTGCAGCTACTGCAGCTTCGACACGAAGCAGCCCAGCAACCTGAGCAAGCACCTGAAGAAGTTCCACGCCGACGTGGTCAAGGCCGAGGCGCTGGCGAAGAAGGACGCGGGCAGGCAGAGCAGCCGCCAGGTGGCCAAGCTGGACGCCAAGAAGACTTTCCACTGCGACATCTGCGACGCCTCGTTCATGCGGGAGGACTCGCTCCGCAGCCACAAGAGGCAGCACAGTGAGTACAGCGAGAATAAGAACCCCGACGTGACCGTGCTGCAGTTTCAGATCGACCCCAGCAAGCAGCCCGCCGCGGCCCTCGCCGTCGGGCACCTCCAGGTGCCCCTGCAGCCCAGCCAGGTGCCCCCGTTCAGCGAGGGAAGAGTGAAAATCATCGTGGGCCACCAAGTGCCCCAAGCGAACACCATCGTGCAGGCCGCCGCCGCCGCGGTCAATATTGTCCCCCCCGCCCTGGTGGCCCAGAGCCCCGAGGAGCTGCCCGGGAACAGCCGGCTGCAGATCCTGCGCCAGGTCAGTCTGATCGCGCCGCCTCCGTCCTCGGGGTGCCCGAGCGAGGCGGGCGCCATGGGCCAGCCGGCCGTGCTGCTGACCACGCACGACCAGGCCGACGGGGCCGCGCTGCACCAGGCTCTGATCCCCGCGGCCGCGGCCAGGCCCCAGGAGGGCGCCGGCAACCAGACGTTCATCGCCAGCTCGGGCATCGCGTGCGCGGACTTCGAGGGCCTTAACGCTCTGATTCAGGAGGGGGCGGCCGAAGTGACGGTGGTGAGCGACGGGGGCCAGGGCATCGCGGTGGCCACGGCCGCCCCGCCCATATTCTCCTCCTCGTCGCAGCAGGAGCTGCCCAAGCAGACCTACTCCATCATCCAGGCGGCCGCGCACCCGGCTCTGCTCTGTCCGGCCGACTCCATCCCGGATTAATAACCAGAGATCGAGGAGCTGGAGGAGAGCGACCGAAAAACAGAACGAGTGGAGTTCTGTAAGAGCTTTGCTCGGGATGTTTTCCTGAATCGTTGTGACCCGCCCCCGCCGCCGCCGCCGCCGCCGGCACCGTAATAAATTGTATTTTCTACTGCTCACTATGATTTTTTAACACTGTAACCACTCTTAGACCATCTCTGAATCGGCGTGCTGACCAGGGTAGGATCTTACATGTTCCCAAGGTGATTCCAGTGAGGAGTTGGAATTCAGTGCGTTAAGTAGTGAATACATTTGTTTTGTTTCCAACTCTAATAAAGGTTCTTTCCCATGGCATTCGATAGGTGTCCTAGGTGGTATCTCCCAGCCTCTCTTCCCCCCTTATTCTGAAAAGCCCCGCAGTCTCGGGTAATGAATGTTCCTACATAGATACAAATAAACCTTCCGGCTTGAAGGTCCATTTTCTACGTAATGTTACATGGATACTTGAAAGAAAAAATTACTTAGTGCTAATGAGCAAAACAGAAATGGTTTCCCTAATAAATTGATACTTGATTAAAATAGACTGAATGTTAATGCTTCTCGGCGCTCAAGCTATGATCTGGGGCTGGGGTGTGAATCATTATACAATTAAAGAGAACAGAAGCAGCAGAGGGGTTTAGTCCTGTCATAAATATTACGTGAACATCTTACCTTCTTCACAATCCCGTGAAATATATGCCATACCTAAGAGATCTGTACAACTACTTTTAGTTGAAACTTCGGACAGATGATCCTGACATTTCTGTTTAGATGCAAATATGATGTCAGTTCTGACTAAGGTTTTCTAGGATACCATTTTTTAGATGTTAATATCTGAATAGATCCAGGGTCCAAATAAGTGCTTTGGAAAAGCACCTCGCTTTTTCCAAAACAGGCCCTGGTGACGGGAGAAACATTCAAATTGTTATTTTCAACCGAAATGCTGTTTTATCAGTAGGTGGCGCCGGAGAGCAACACAGAATCACCCAGGCAGTACTCATAACAGATTCTCTACCTTTGTAATAGCTCTGATTTCTGACCCTAAAAGGGATTAATGAGGAAAGGCGGTCCGTGTTCTGAAAGAAGTGCACTTAGACTCTTATGCTGTTCATTTTTCCAGAGTTGTTGCCACTTTTATTCTGTTATAATGTACAGATGTATTTAACCAAACGTCATGCAGATCATCTCGCTTGTACATGAAGGGATGACGTCTGTTTTGGGTAAATAAAAGGATGGGGAAATACCAAATGATGATGCTGGAGACCTTGAGAGCTTGCCAGTTGGAGATGCGCGGTTCACTTCCCTTAGGAGATAGCTCTACAGTTAAACGGTTTCCTTTCTGTTCCTTTTCGCAGTTGCCACTCCTAATAATTGAACAGTTCTGATCCCTTGCTGCGTCCCTTTTGCCACAATTTCTTTCTTATCAGGAATGGAAATATGGAGTTATTAATTATGGTTTCGATAAGAAACAGGAAATCAAAAAAAAAAAAACAGGAAATCCTACCGTGTGCAATGTTAGTAACTTTAATCACTCCCAAATGAGGTACTCCCCCCCCCTTATTCATGGCTTTGCTTTACTTGATTTTAGTTATCCATAGTCAACTACAGCCAAATGGAAAATTCCAGAAATAAGTTTTACATAACTTTATTACAGTATGTGGCTGTAACTGTCCTATTTTATTCTTTGTAGTGGTTGTTAATCTCTTACTGTGCCTGATTTATAAGTTAAACTTTATTGTAAGTTTGTTTATATAGGCAAAAGCAGTATTTATGGGGTTCAGTAGTATCTGCAGTTCAGGAATCTGAGGAATGTCTGGGCATGTCTCCCTCCCAAGATGGGGAGGAGGGACTCTTGCTTTGCTTGAAGCTATTTAGAAAATATGCAGCTATTGCACTTTAAGTGACTGACTTGTATCTCAGTTACTTCTCTCATTGCTGAAACAAAATACTGGACACCTACAAGTTAAAAGAGAAAAGGTTTATCTTGACTCACAGTTTCCAGAGGTTTCAGTTCTTAGTGGGCTGGTTCCAAGGCAGGGTGGTGTGGCACAGGGTTATTACAGGGGAGAAACAGTCCATGGCAGGGTAAGCAGGAAGCAGCAGCAACAAGCCTTCCTTTCCCTCTTATCCCATCCAGGCTACACACCTATTGGTTGATGCAAACTGCACCCAGGGTGGGCCTTCTCATTAGCCATACCCAGAACTAGGCTAAACTCACCAGTGGACTGATATAGTTATCACACACCCTTAATCCATGGTCTCATACCCTGCATCCAGCCACCTCTGAAAAGCCCTACCTGTGAGTGCATGAGGCTTTGGCGAGACATCTAGATACAAGCTATCTGAGACAGGGTCTCGATATACAGTTCAGGCTGGCCTTGAACTCACTATGTAGTCCAGGCTGGCCTCAAACTCACAGCAATCCTCCTGCCTCTGCCTCCCAAGTGCTGGGATTATAGGTGTGTGCCACCATGCCCGAAAACAATTTTATTATCATAGCTTGTTTTTACTTTTACTCTTGCTTTACTTTTATTTTACTCTCAGAATGCCCCTTTCTTCAACTATCAAAAAGATTTTTCTTAATTGTAAATGTAATTTGTATTCAAGATAAGAAAAATGAGAACTAGAATATTATAAAGAAAAATTGAAGTTAGTAATAACTTTACTATCCAGATCTAAACACTGTAAACATTTTCATGGCATTTCTTCGCAATCTTTTTCCTATGTTTACATATATTTTTTTTTACTTTATTTATAAAGTTGGGGTTGAGTTGAGCATAGTATTTTGTTTTTATAGTCTACATTTCTTTGAATCAGTTTTTGGTTTCTTTTTTGTCTTTTTGAGACAAGGTCTCACTATGCAGTTCAGGCTGGCCTGGAGCTCAGTTTGTAGCTGAGGCTGGTCTCGAACTCACAGCGATCCTCCTGCCTCAGCCTCCCAAGTGCTGGGATTACAGGTGTGCACCACCATGCCTGGCTGATACATTTCTTTTTATATCCTTATATCTCCACCTAGCAACTCTCCTCCATATATATAGAGAGGTGGTGTTTAGACTTCCTTTTTTAACAAACTACGATAGCAAAACACATTCCTTACCATAAAATACATGCAAAATTATACAAAATTCAAGCCAATATCCTCCAGCCCTCCCCTAACTTTACCCCACCCATGATAAGTGATGTTAAGCTTGCTGTGTTCATGTGAACATATGTACAAAGTTAACAAAGAAATAGGATTTCCTGTTACATAATAATTGTATCGTATTATGTACACTTCTCTGCAACTTGCTTTTTTTATTCCATTTATTGACAGTCCGGTGGGTCGGAACAACTAACCCTAATTTTTTTCAGCCAAGGGTGGCAGTGTGAATATTCTCTGCTTGATCAACCATCCTCCTATTTGTGGATGTTTAGGTTGTTTGGGTTTGTTTTGTTTTGTTTTGTTTCTGCCGTTGCAAACTCACAGTAAACTTCCTACATAATCCCTCAGATTCAATTGCTTCTTTTTTCTAGATCTTAGGTTCCTAAAAGTAAGCTTCAATGAGTTGCTGCAGTTTGAACTTGCATAGATTCAGACTGGTTTTGAGGGTGGTAATCTTACCTGTGTAGGGACCTGAGCCATCAACAATCCCATCAACAGTCTCCAAAGTTTCATCTGTCTGGTGAGTGAACATGGTCACCTGGTCTTTTTTTTATTAGTAGTATATGTTTGCAATGTCACCACATGTCACATGTCACCATAGCCCTGCCCGCATGTGTTGTTATTTGATTTGTGGAGGATGGCCATTCTTTCTGGTGTGAGATGAAAGCGGTTGTTGGGAAATTAGCAGTATAAATCCTATGTCTGTCATATACCACTCAGCTTTCTCCCCTCCTAGCATTTGTCTTTGAACTTTCCTTGTGACATGAACAAAAACTGTTTAGTGTACTTAGATATTCTATTCTTCTTTTTTCTTTTGGTACCGGGAATCAAACTCAGGACCTTGCGCTTGCCAGGCAGGAACTTATGCCACTGAGCTATATCCCCAGCACTCAGATATTCTGTTCTATTCCTTCATTTGTGGCTCTTGTGTTTTCTAAGAAAGCCCCTCCCTTCCCTGAGATCTTATTTTAATTGGTACACTGAGATTTTTCAATCGGATTTTATTGGTACACTTTAGATATACATAATAATCACATTCATCATAGAGAATTTATGCCTGAACCTGATACAACTTGATTCTCTTTTTTAACCCATCCTCCTTCCTTCCACCCCTTCTTCTCTCCCTATTTACAAAAGCTTTGTTTCCAATTTTTCCTTCTTTTCTCTTTTTTTTTACTTTTCCCTTTTTTCCCCCTACTCCCTCCTTTGTTCCTCATTTTCCTCCTATTTCACAGCGCCTATTATACATTTTGGTCCTTATTTACACTTTTGGTTTCTCACACCAGAAAAACAATATGGTATTTACACATGTATGTCCGCTTTATTTTACTTGAGAGTACGGTCTCAAGGTGCATCCATTTACCTGGAAATGTCCCAATCGTATCCTTTATGGCAGAGTAGTATTCCATTGTACATTTTTAAAACCCACATCTTCTTTATCCATTCACCAGCTGATGGACATTTGGGCTGTTTCCAAGATTTGTCTATTACAAACAGTGCTACTAAAAACATGGGTAGGCATAGATCTCTGTGGTATGATGCTTTTAATTCTTTTGGGAAGGTACCATAAGAAGGGGGATAGCTGGGTCAAATGGGACCTCTAGTCCTGGTTTTTTTTAGGAATCTCCACACTGATTTCCACATAGCTGCACCAGTCTACACTCCCACCAGCAGTGGAGAAGGGTTCCTCTTTCCCCACAGCCCCACCAGCATTTGTTATTGGTTGATTTTTTTGATAACAGCCATTCTTTCTGGGGTGAGATGGAATCTCAGCATGGTTTTTTTTTTATATCTCTCCAGTGGACAGTGATGTTGAACATTTTTTCATGTATTTATTTGCTGTTTGTACTTCTTCAGCTGCGAAGTGTCTATCCATCTCAGATGCCCATTTTTGGATTGGGTCTCTAAATTTTGGGAGTCTGATATTTTTGATTTCTTTCTATGTTCTCAGTAGTAATCCTTTGTCTGAGGAAAGCTGGCAAACATTTTCCCCCCTCTGTGGGCTGTCTCTGCAGTCTGTTGGTGGTTTCCCTTGCTGTGCAAAAGCTTTTTAATAAGATCAGATCCCAGTTGATTCTTGGTGATAGCTCCTGTGTGATCGGGTTTTTGTTCATAAAGTCTCTACCTATACCAATGTCTTCAAGAGTTCTCCCTACTCTATCTTCCAGCAGATTTAGTGTTTCCACTTTAATATTTAGACTTTTTATTTATTTTTATTTTAGTTTAGTGCATGGTGGAAGATATGGGTCTAATTTTAATCTTCAGCATGTGGAGAGCCAGTTTTTCCAATGCCATTTATTAAAGAGGCTATCTTTCTTCCAGTGAATGCGTCTGCCACCTTCGTCACAGATAAAGTGGCTGCGTGTGTCTGTGCTGTTTCTGCATCTTCTAATCTGTTCC